GGATTTATTGTATTATCTTTTAAAGACTTTAGACATTTCAGAATGTTGATTTAAAGTTCTTGGCTAAACTTTTTTTTGGATAAACCTCAACAAAATCAAGCATTGAACGAATGGTTCTAAAAAATGAAACAAAGATGGCCAGAGAAGAGAGTGAGAAAACAAACACACCCTAATGCTRCTTATCAGATCGGAAGATGAAAACCAGAAACATTCCTTTTCCTTTTTAGATGAACCTGCTTGTACCAAAGCTGCCATAAATGTACAATAAATATTTTTCTCATCCCACTCCCTGGAGAAAATCCTTTCCTCTTTGTGTTTATTCGCATTACTCAGACACTAGATCAGCCAGTGTATTTTATCTGTTCCGCTGTGGATCACTTAGACATGGTCCTTCCTGTTTAGATTAAATTCAGACTCATAAAGGAGGAGGCAGACAGCACAGAAAATGAATGTGGTGGGTCAGAACCCAGTGCTGAAAAGACCTTAGTGCTGCTTAGCAAAGTAATAATTTATAACCTTTATTTATCTACTGATACATGAGATATAAAACATGCTGGTTTCCATCACAAGCCTACTTTACATCACTTTTACACACTCTTTAGCCCTAGGCACTAGCACTGTGGACTGTTTSTTTGAAATTTAAACCATTTATCCTGGAGCCAATAACCCACTGACACATAACATGTTAGTGTCACTATAGGAACTTGGGATATCGAAAAGAAAACAGCTTAACGAGTAAGATGAGAATCATTATTTTAGGAATAAAAATCAGAAAAACTTTTCAACATAAAAAAACAGATGTGATGGATTTCAATTAAACAATTACATCAACTGGTTGACTTTTTTTTCAATTGCATTCACGGTAACACTTTCTTTTATGGTACCCTTATTACCATGTAATTACAAGGTAATAAAAACTGWAATTAAATGTAATTACTACCTTATTACCATGTAATTATGTAGTAATTAGGGTACAGTTTTACTATGTAATTAAATGTCTGCAGTAATGTAGCAGTTACCTGGTTATGTATTACAATTCACTATGTAACACCTAAATAAGTAGTAGGTAATTTAGACAGTTTTAAAGTTATATTTTATTGCAATTAACCACTAACGCCAAAATTTAGTTGCATTATTTTGGTTATAAATATAGTGTTGAGTTACTATTGAATATTAATTTGATCATAGTTACCCAATAAAGGTAGTTTTACTAACAGCAGTTTTTTTTTTCTTTTGTACCTTAATAACCACATGTATTACCTTGTAATTACATGGTAATAAGGGTACTGTAAAAGAAAGCATTACCCCTTCACTAACTGTGTCTTTTGAGTGAAGGCTGCAACTGGTCAAAAGAGCAGGCACATTTTCTTAAAACAAGGAAAAAGGAGAAGATGCAACCAGTTTGAACAAAATCAGAAAGAAAAAAAAACCAGGTACTGGAGTCATGTG